TGTGAAGAATGCAATTTGGTCTTAAATTGGGAAAAGTGTCACTTTATGGTGACGGAAGGTGTGGTCTTAGGTCATATTGTATCTAATAAGGGTATACAGGTAGATAAATTAAAAATTTCAGTGATTGAGCAATTACCTCTACCAGTTAATGTTAAGGGGGTTAGGAGTTTCCTTGGTCATGCGGGGTTTTTTCGTCGCTTTATCAATCATTTTTCTTATATTGCTAAACCACTAACTCGGCTTTTACTCAAGGATGCCCCATAAGATTTTACTAACGAGTGTCTTGGGGCTTTTAACAGGATTAAGCAGGCTGTGATAGCAACACCTATCATATGTGCTCCCAATTGCGATTCCCTTTTGAGATTATGTTCGATGCTAGTGATTTTGCAGTAGTTGTTGTGCTTGGAAAAAGGAAGAACAAAGTTTTGCATGGTATTTATTATGAAAGTAAAAATTTAGATGAAACTTAAGTCAACTATGCCACCACAGAGAAGGATTTTCTTGCTGTGATTTATACTTTAGAAAAATTTAGATCATAACTAGTTGGTTCTAAAATTATTGTTTCACTGACCATGCAGCTTTGAAATATCTGATTGATAAGGCGGAAACAAAGCTTAGGCTTCTCCGTTGGGTACTCTTGCTCCACGATTTTGATGTTGAAATTAAAGATAAAAAGGGAGCAGATTAGAGAATGTAGTTACAGATCACTTGTCAAGGATCAGGTATGATGAGAGAAAGGATTCCATTCCTATAGATGATTCTTTTCCTGATGACCATTTGTTTGCAGTTGTAGAGCAACACCCTTGGTATATCGATTATGCCAATTATTTGGTTGGCGGTACCCTACCTCCTGATATTTCCTACCAACAGAAGAAGAGGATTCGTTATGATGTAAAATATTATTTTTGGGATGACCCTCTTTTGTTTCGTGAGTGTGCAAATGGACTTTTTCGTAGGTGTGTTCCCGAATGGGAAGTTCACGGTGTTCTAACTAGATGCCACAACTCACCCTATGGTGGACATCATGGCCCCACAAAGATAGTAGCAAAGATCAATGAGTCGGGTTTTTATTGGCCTAGTATGTTCAAAGATGCTCACTCTTTTGTTCTAACTTTTGATTCTTGCCAAAGAACTTGCAACATCTCGCGGCAACATGAGATGCCTCAAACTGGTATTTTGGAAGTTAAATTTTTTTATGTTTGTGGTGTCGATTATATGGCACCTTTTCCTTCTTCAAAAGGGAATCGTTATATCCTTGTAGCCGTTGCCGTACCTACTTATGATGCTAAGGTGGTTTATAAACTTTTCAAAAAAACTATTTTTCCTAGATTTGGTGTCCCTAGAGCTATTATTAGTTATGGAGGATCTCACTTTCATGAGAGGAAGTTAGATACCCTTTTAAAGAAGTATGGTCTTTACCATAGGACAGGTTTAGCTTACTATCCCTAAATTAGTGGCCAAGTTGAGGTTTCCAACCGAGAGATTAAGGTTATTCTAGAGAAGGTAGTAGAAAAGTCTAGGAAAGATTGGAGTGGTAAGTTGGATGACACACCTTGGGCATATAGAACCGCATTTAAGACCCTCATTGGTACTTCCCCCTATAGACTTGTGTATGGGAAAGCATGTCATTTTCCGGTGGAATTAGAGTACAAGGCATATTGGGCAATTGAAGAGCTCAATTTGGATTCTAAGTTAATGGGAGTGAAGAGACTTCTTCAACTTGACCAGTTGAATAAGTTTCAATTGATGGCCTATGACAGTGCACGTGTCTATAAGGAAAAGACCAAGAAATGGCATGACATGAATATCCTTCCGAGAGAATTCAAAGAAGGTGACAAGGTTTTGTTATTTAATTCTAGGCTTAGACTTTCCCTGGAAAGTTTAAATCTAGATGGTCGGGTCCTTTCACTGTGAAAAAGGCAAATAAACTCGGTTCTGTAGAATTATAAGATGAACACAGAGGTGTTTTCAAGGTAAATGGCCAAAGGTTGAAGATATACTATGAAGGGACTACGATAGGTGTAGTTTAATTGCTTCACCTAATCGATTCTACCTCATCTTGATCTACATATGTAAGAAGGTTGTGTGGGACCTAGATAAACCAGCATTTTGCGGGAGGCAAACCATATTTAGTTGCTTTCTAGAGTAGTTTTTCTTTTATTTTTCTTATAGAGAGAAGAGCGAGGGAATTTTACGTGTGTTGGAGTGTTTTTGTACAGTTTTGGAGCAAAGAGTTAGCCAAATTATGAAGAAAAGAAGAAAAAAAAAAGAGTATTACAGTTGAACGCGTGCCCGATCAGGCGGGAGATCGCCCGACCGGGCGCGAGAGATTTTTCGGGCGAGCAGGCACCTGACCGAGCGCGAGAGGAGTATCGATTACGAGCAAATTTCGCCCGACCGGGCGCGAGAATAACGTTGAAAAAGTCGACCAAAATCACCTGACCGAGCGATAGGCACTCGACCAGGCGCGAGGAAGCATAGTTTTTAGGACGATTTCTCGCCCAGCCGGGCGAGCGGGCGCTTGACCGGGGGCGAGAATATGAATCCAGAAGTGCGAGATCGCCCGAACGGGCACGTCTCCCTTTTCCCCGGATTACCCACTTCTCTTTTCTTTCTTTCTCTTTCTTTCTTCTTTCTTCTTCCTTTTCTCTTTTACCTCCATACTTTCTCTCTCTAAAAACCTCTCCTTATTCAAACTTCTCTCTAACATTTCTACCTCAATTTTCATCAAAATTCAAAGATTTTTACATAATTTCAATCTACTCTTCACCCTCTTTAATTCTATACTAATTTTACTTATTTTTTAAAAGAAAAAAAAAATCAGACCCATAGCTAGCAAACGGTCGAGTTCACAAAGAGGCGAAGGTGGTTCGGGATCAAGGGCTCAAATCAACGAATCTTTGAAACTCAAGGACCTTTGGCCACCGATCGTCATCATATCTCAACAACAATAGGAACGGTTGATCAACCTCTACGAACGAGAGGTAATTTCATCTCGGTGAATAAACCGAGAAGCTCTTAACGCAATTGGTGTATACAATCATGTTAGGCGATTTTTAAATGAGATTGGGACAGTAAATTTGTTGATATGTACTACCCTACCTATAGAGAAATTACATGTGAATTTTTATCTTCTTTGAATGTTAGTAGTACTAAAAATGGCCCTTTGATGCGTTTTAGATTAAACAATAGGAATATTGAATTGACATTTGTTGAATTTGTTAGATTGTTTGAACTAGATGCATCCCTCACCCATCAAAATCATGCGATCTATAAGGCCGATGATGTTTACTTGGCTTTGACGGGCAAAGCCTACCCAAATATTCAACATGCTAGCTCTATTCCCTTCCACCACTCCGTCCCTAAAATCTTCCAAAGATTTTCTCGCACAATGTTTTTTGGCTCGGCATGAACCGCACAATGCCCAATTCTTTGAACTTGCTATCTTAAGTCACTATATTTTTGGTTTTGGGAAATTAAACATTTCCCGTTACATTGTGAACCATTTTAGTAGACACGGGAATTCATGCGACAATAACGTTAAAACCCCAATTTACTTCAGTGGCCTAATTACAGAATAGGTGGGACATACTAGGTGTAGTGGGGAGACTTATCATACCTTGAGCTATTGGGCGGGGTTAGAACATATTAGGATGAACTTAACATATGGAAAAGTAGGTCGTTGACTAATCAAACTTCAAACCAATCAACAATTGCTCATTCTAAATCAAGTGGTCATGTCATTAGGATCTACAATGCAATCTAGCATAGTTCTCAAGGCTAATTACTCCTAAAACTAACCCTAAAGCTAGAGAGAGGAACTCTCAACCTAAGCTAAAATATGAGAGAGGAATTCTAAGTTATTTTAAAGTTATTAAGTCTAGGTTATTTATAGAAGAGAAGAAGAAACCCGAGTCTTGGCATGTGGTGTGCACGCACAAGGGGGTATGAGCGCGCGCACCAAAGGGTATGTCCTCCTCAAAGACACGCGCAGCACGAACAATGAGCACAAAATAAGATTGTCGTGCCACGGTGGTGATTGTCGTGACATAGTGCTTTTTAACGTGGCGCTGCGACCTTTGTCATGGCGCGGAAACTTCTCCCGTGGCGCAGCGGATACCTAGAAGCGAAGTAGCTCCCTCTAGCATACCTTCGATCCTTGCGCGCACCAGAAGCACTCCTCGCATTAGCTGCAGCAGCACACCCTTTCCTCGGCCATTGTTTAGTTTCTTGCGCGCACATGCATGCTCCTCACTGACGCTCTCACCTGATACTCACGAGGGGGGCAGCCTTTAAATCTTCATTTTTGCGTGTTCATTACCAATACATGTGATGAGAGCATGCACGAGAGCGCAAGGCCTTGAGTAGGAGTATGCTTCACAACTTGATCCTTAGGCATTCAAATGGTATGAGATCTCGTTCTGAGCATCCAAAAACTTGAAGAATCTTCTAAAATAAATCCCGAGCCCCGAACAAGACCTGCAATAAAGGAAAACAAAGCGAGTAGAGTAGAAAAGACAAAATTACCCTTAAAACGCAAGAAATCATAAAATAAGCAAGAATGAAGAAACAAATGAACAAATGAACAAAATTAAGAAATTATTAAGAAAGAAATCTCTAAAAAGAAGGGGAAAACAACCTAACACTACCCTATGAGTTCCATAAATGACACTCATCAGAACCATCAGCACTAGACGAAAAAGATAAAAAGGCACCGGTTCAAACCCCCCCTTTGGCACCGGTTTTGAACCGTTGGGTATTTGAGGGATGCCAAATCCATGAAAATTTGACACCGGTTCAACACTGGTGCCAACTAAAGCATTTAGCACCGGTTAACCGGTGCTAACTACATGATTTGGCACCGGTTAACCGGTGCCAACTACCATGGCGCGATTTTTTTTTTCAATACTATTGGCACCGGTTCAAAGCAAGAACCGGTGCAAAAAACCCCACTTTAGGCACCGGTTCTTGCTTTGAAGCGGTGCCAATAGTATTAAAAAAAATTTTTAAAAAAACTTTTGGCACCGGTTCTGGTCCAAACCGATGCCAAAAATACCCCAAAAAAATAAAAAAAAAAAAATTTGCATTTTTTCCACTTAAATTGATATAGAAACATTAACATATACATAAAGTTACATATTTTTATTAAAAAAGGTTGTAATATTACAATTTTCGTCCAAAAAAAATTAAATAATCCAGACTGCTCTGCTGTTTCTGTTCTGCTGCGCTGCTGTGCCTCTGCCTGTTCATGCTGACCGGGCATCTGTTTGCTTCTGTGGCTGTCTCTGTTATGTTCAGGCTGGCTGGGTGACTGGTTTGAGTTCTTGAGCTGCTGTGTTTCTGTTCTGCTCTGGTTAGGCTGTGCAGGGTGTTTGCTGCTCTGCTATAGTGTTGTGTTGCTTGCTGGTCAGGCTGCTGTGTTTGCTGGGTTCTGCTGCGTGGTCCTCTGTGTTGCGGTACTGGTGAGCTGTTGTGGTGCTGTGCTGGTGGCGCTCTGATGTGCTCCTGTTTGCTGGGCTGTCTTGCTCGTTATTGCTCTGATGTCCTAATGCAGTGAAGAAATAAACAATATTGGCAAGCTGATTCTTGTCACAAAGAATATCAACAACTTAAAATACCATGAAAATATAAGATATTGTAAAAAAAAAGAGTATACCTTCAGCAATATCATGAACTACTGCCATCTTGATACATCTGTGCAAAGCATTGTCAAAAGAAGATAATACAGCTCATCAGCAAGGGAAATATCAATGTGTCCAAAACAAGCATAATTGGTTAACATCCAACGTCTCCCTGTTCACACCCGGAATGTCCCCAGCAATCAAACCCATCAACGCCATTCGATACATATGATCAGCAATAGATTCAGGGCCCTTTATCCGATGATTAATACATCCCTGCTCCACCTGTCCTGGCCCCCTGCTGCACCTCCCCCCTCCCTGCTTCAACTACCCCCTTGTTTCATTGATAATAGAAGTGTACTCGTAATTCCCCAATATCATACTTGTATATAAACACGACACAACAACCAAAGCTTTGAGCCACAGGGTCAAGTTGTTCACATAATTTCTAAAATCAGAAACATGTAAGATTCACTTTTTTAAGGTATATTCACTTTTATAATGGAATAAGTTCAGATAAGTGTTAATTCAGGCAAAAGGAACTAATTAGAGAAGGCTAGACGGTCCTTAAAAAGATTCAGGTAGGAGATCTTTTTAATCATAAAATGGGCAAAAAGAGTTTTAATCATGCTTGTAATAACATCAGAACGCCTAGTTCGAGAAGGCTGCATAATCCTTAAAAGATCCTGATAGGAGAGTCTATTAAGAAATAAGCATATAGAAAGAATGTAAACAATGTTTATACTAAAATCAGAGAGAGCAATGCCAAGACAAGCCAGATACGGGGGCAAAAGAATCAATAATGCATAAAATCTGGTAGTATATTATTCTTCCATTCCAAAAATTTGGTGACCTTTACAATCAGGCAAGAGCGAACGAGTTTCATATGTCACACTGCTTTAGTCAAGAGCCTGCATTTATCTTATCGTAAATGAATATTTAATACATATATCCATTTTTTTTTTTTGTGCGAGGGGCCTAGGCAATGGCCAGCAAATAAGCATAACAAATATCTAGAGCAAGTACATATGTGTTAATTTCTCATAAAAGATTAATGGATTTGGAAGTCGTAATTAGCACCTGTAAAACATGAGTGAAACACTCTTTTTCTCGAGAAGTAGGTTCACCAAAATGAACCGCCCTTGTTATGTCTGTTGTCCCATCTATATAATGTGCTCCCTACAAATCTTTATTAAACTTCCAAGAAACATAGAGTGAAGTATGCTAGATGAAATTTTCAGGGAGCCAAAGCATCAGAATTCAAGAGAATTTACAAAAACAAACTTCCTCAAGACCAAGTGGATGCATAAATGGTAGAAATGGATAAGGTAACATGTCAACACCAGCAATTAAACAGATTGTACTAATATTAATTTTAAAATCTTATCCAAATGGTAACCTAGCAGCCTACATACATAAAAAATGCAAATATACACAAAACAGCGTTTTTTTTTACTTTGGGTTAAAGATGGGGGAGAGAAGAGCCTGAGTCCACAATCCAAAGAGAGGAAGCATAAAAAATACAATTGGTCCAAAAAGTAATGAAGTACAATCTAGACTACAAAACATAAAGAGAAAGAAGCTAGGGCAACCCTTACATGAAGCACTTTATAAATATCATTTCCAGTAAATAAACAAAAAGAAACAGTCATACATGTACAACAGGAAGCTGCAAAATCATGTTTCTGAACCAGGTTTGAAAGTTGGTCAAATACCCTTCTTGCCACTGTGTAACTTAGATTGTGCATGTTATGATAGAACAGTACTGTGTCTACTACCACTCCTTTTTTCTGTGTTTCCAGAAATTACTTTATTTCTCACCTAAAAAAAAAATCAAAATGCTTAAAATATAGCAGCAAAATTCACAAGATTTAAAAATATATCACTCATGTATTTTGAGGTTCTTCGCAATGACTTAATATAAAAATATACTCAACAGAGTTGGTTAAAAGCTATTTAAAAGGATATAATTCAATAGTCAAAAGAGCAATTGAATAGTACCACTTATAGTATCAAAACTTGTATCCACAAAACCATCATGCTTGGAACGAAACTCAAGAAGTTTGTCTGCCACTTCCACCTCTGTCAATGTCACACCCTTGCTAATTTCAGCTTCCAGCCAGGACCAGAATTGTGCTACAGCAGCTGCATCCCTACAAAAAAATATTATTGATGTTAAACAGAAGGTCATATCTGGACTCAGATTATACTTGTCATCCTCATCCAGGACAACCATGTTCAAATAAAAAACTACAATACATGCCTAACCTCTCCACACAAATCAGTCGGCCAATGCAATATCAATGTCACTAAAATAAGTTGCAGGAAATGCAAATTTACAATTGATATGAAAATCACTTGATAAGCAAAGCCTAGTCAGGCTAAACTAAATTCCTAAATCCTAACTAAATAGCTGTTAATAGCGGTCGAAGTTTATATTACAGTTTTAAAAAAAGCATGCATCTCAGTAAGCTAAAATTGAGGCTTCATGTGTACCCAAGCCAGCCTATCCCTATGTGTAGATGTCACACTCAAAAAAGTTACATATATTGATAAAGTGCATGCTCGGGATTTTAAAAAAACAAAACAAATAAGACATCAGGGTCAAGAAAGCTGAACATAAAAATAATTGAGCCTAACAATATGCTAGCTTTTGTTCGAAGCTGACAAAAGGTACAAACAGCTACACTTCATAATAAGAATAAGATATTAAAACAGTTGAGGTATGAGGAGAGGGGGACCAGATGTTCAGCATCATCAAGATATACAGGGAAAAAGAAATTTTAAGGATAATAAAATAAACCTCTAATCCAAGTTAAGGGTGAATGAGACACAAGGAGCTCAGTTTCTACCAGTGTGAGACTAGGAAGTAGCCAAATACACCACTTGATCCCATAATTCAAAAGACATTCAATCAAAAGACCAACCATGAAAAATAATACAGTACCAACTCTGTTCCTACATGTTTTTAATACTTTCCCCATAAGTTCGTTCCTTAAAGTCCTCTACACTTTCATTTTATTCCATTTTTGGCAAACCCCATATAATACCTTACTCTCTTACCTAATGTATTTACACTTACACTCATTTACTTTTCCTATTACTATCGAGTCACCACATCAACACTATCTCTCCAATTGCATAAAAATTTCAAGAACAAATAGAAATGGAGGTAGTAAACAAATAAAAGCAACTAAAAAGCAAAAAGTAATTCGCCATAAAGTTTTGCACCCCTTCTCACGACACTCATACAGTGGACATCAAATTACAAAACAGAGAGTGGAGCAACCCAGTTATCAACGTCAGGAAATACCTGCCATGTACATGCTCACAACAGAGCAACAAGTTGGTCCCCATCACACAGTTAGCAGAAAACAAAAACTTCCTAACTGAAATGATCTGAACTACTGTATACGACATCCATTCAAAAGCTTCCCAGCACGCCCTCTCATCTGCCTACCCTCGGCTGCCTTCCCACAGTAAGCAGTTAAGCACATACATAAATCATTTCTACTCTCAATTGAGTTGTGTCATATGTCAGTATCACTAGTAATTCAAAGATGAACAGTCTGCTTATATTTGTTCTACAACAAAAGCTCCAAATGTTAGCCTGAAAATCTAACAAGGCGAGTTTTTAGGAATCGAGTTTTTTCAAAACTGTGGCTGGTTTATGCTTTGGTGTCTCTTTTCATAACTCTTCGAATAACACTTTTAAATGACTCGACATCCAGATAGCATCTCCATCTCATTTCTTTTTCAGAAAATAAAGGTTTTTGAGAGGATTTACTGCTTAGCATCTAGAGACAGATTGCATTTACTAGCGAACGAGAGCAATTATACCTGATGTATTTGCCTAATGTGGTAAAATAAAGGACAAGTATCTGGACAATGTAATGAAGTCATCTATTTGAGCAAATAAACTGTTTCTAAAATGCACCTTAAAAAAAGTCTTACGTGTGTAAGGAATTTGGATGCCACAACCTCAGATAAACAACCCATTCAAATCAATGGGGCTGAGTTATCCTAATCATGGTAAACACAACTAAACTGACCTTGAATCAGATCATCCCCCCAAATTGTAAAGATTGATAAAAGTAACCACAACTTCTTCAAATCAACCATTAACACAAGTAAGATTGACCATCTCCTCAAATGACCACTATCCTTATATATAACATAATCATGGTAATCATACCTCATTGATTATTACATATCGAAAACACAAAAGCAATGCCTAATTCAACACGACACATACAAAGTCCCTTTGATAGAAAAATAACAAATGCATAGTCAAGGTCACAACATTTCAATCTTAAACAAGAAAGTTATGAATTTAGATGATACTCACAGTGAAAGAGATGCTTAGAAAGTGTTTCATTGGGCATGAACTCAGCAACTAGCAATCTCTCATCATCACCCTCACAACAACACCCAACTAAATTTGCCATTTTCTCACTTCTCAACAGCCCTACTGCTCTTGCTTCCTCCTACATTTTATATCAAAATCCAATCAAACAACCAACTATAAGATCATTTTGTACCATTTTTGCTACTAATAACTAACACATATATAAAACTATAAGAGCATTGGAAAAAATAGCCACTAACTATTGAATTTGAACTCTTGTTTGAGGAGCAAACAAACTAGATCTACAATTCCTACAAATGATAGAATAAAAAATATTAAAATTAAAAAACTTAGGGTTTATGGTTAATTAATTGAAACTAAATTAAAAAAAATACAAATAAAACCAGAACCCTAAAATTACGAAATTGAAAACCAAATCAACGACAAACCCTAGATTGCGAAGGAATTCAGTAGATTAAGAAGACCACATTACCTCCAAGCTGCTTCAATGGAGGAGAGGTGGATATGGAGTACTAAAGAGAAGGTGACGTGGTGCGTGCGGCGGCAGCTGCTTCAATGGAGTAAGCTTAGGGGTGGAGCAAAGAGAAGAGGGAGAGCGTGGGAATTGAATGAACGAAGAAGAAGACGTTATAAACCGGGCTTTTTTAAAAAAAAAAAATTGGCACCGGTTCAAACCGGTGCTAATTACTATAGTTGGCACCGATTTAAGGCGAACCGGTGCCAACTCCATTGATTTCTTTTTTTTTTTTTTTTTTAAAGTTGGCATTGGTTTGAACCGGTGCTAATTAAATGAGTTGGCACCGGTTTAGGTGGGAACCGGTGCCAACTCTGAATTTTCCATTCCCGCCCATTGCTTTTGGCACCGGTTTTCAAGAACCGGTGCTAAAGGGGGATGCCTATTTCAAATTTTCTACTAGTGTTAGTTCTTATGAAAATTCCCAAAATAAATCCTGCTCACATTTTACTCGAAAATAATTCCACCCAGATTATATTACTCAGATAACCTTACTTCCAGAAATCCCTGGAAATTTCATAGCATACAACCATGATGTTGGACTGATAAAATAATGCCAAAGAAATAGCAAGTTACTTATCATGTCAGACATTCAGAAACTATTTTAAGCAGAATCAGACTTTAGAATTCACATATCTTTGGCATTGATTATTCTCACTTCAATAGCAATTTAACATGAGGTAACGAATTGGTAGTCCTAAGTATGCAGTTAAAAACTTTTCTACTCAAATTACACAACATGTAAAGATAGAAACTGTTCAAATTGGTATCTAACATATTCAGCAAAATGGCTCTCCTGATTTTAGGACTAGAGCTAGCTAAGTATCATTATTATGCTGCCAGAACGTGCACTAACTGCATGCACTTCAGAAATTCAGACTTAACAACAGTGGTGCAAATGGCAGCATATAACTCAAACTTGGCCAATAAACAAGCAATGTACTCTTCAATCTAATATTTTCCAAGAATAATATAAACCAAGAAGCTGACTTAGAGATTTTGCTCAATAGTTAGTGCACTCAGAACTCCCTGACTAAATCATGCTAGCATAAACATCATTTGAAAAGACTTAATCTATTGATGCATCCAATTTATGTGTGATAAATCTAAGCTCAGGAACTTGCAACAAGATAAGACTTGCCTAATATACTTAAGTAGACTAGCAGACTCCTAGGACAACAATTCTATATTCTCAATTCTATCTAACTGACAAAACACCTCAGGTAAACATGTTTATAGCTTGCAAAAATTTGTCAATGAACAAGCAAAATTCACAATAAACTCAGATCATTAACATATCATATTAATTTCCAATAAGCTAATCTAATTTTGTCAACACAATTATACTCTTACAAACATCAAGCATTGATAACCAAATTGGCCAGATCTTTTTTCTATTCAGATAAATAAAGCTATAAAAAAAAATAATCAACCTTGAATAATAACAAATTAAAATCATCTTAGCCCATAGTCATATTACAAACATGCTTCTCAAGTCTGACATTATTAATTCTATGCTCTTCATGAAATCTACGAAGTATTATTTTAGTGCAGAAAAATACAAACTTCTTGATAAGCCACTTCCTCACATATATTGGATTAAACATATACTATTTAGAACCACCAAGCTCATTACTTAAATCTTATTAGTTATAGACTACCAAATGGCATAAGTGTACTGAAACGTAGTCTAGAGCATAAAAGCAGCCAGAAGACATATTAAAAATTTACAGTAGGCTCACTCTGCATAAATACATTAATAAAAACAGAAAATTAGTTAAACCATGAATTTTTAGAGACCAACCCACACTAATATCACTTATTCCCACTAAAGCATGACGTACACGATACACCCATAAAGTTGCAGCTTAACGATGATTAGTATTACAATCCAAAAGTAGTACCATTTTTATCAAATTAATCCAACTCAAACAATTCAATTCAGTTCAATCCAACTCAAACAATTCAATTCAATCCAAGTACAACAACAATACCAAGACCAAATCAAACAACAATTCGAACAACAACAATCCAACAACACCTCAAAACCAATTCGAACAAGTAAACAACAGCCGAACACCAATTCGAATAACAAGTAAACAACATTCCCACCCGTACACCAATTCAAACAACAAGTATACAACATCCGAACACCAATTCTAACAAGAACAAGTAAACAATACCCCAACAATAACAACTCGAGCATCAACTCCCAAAACTGATTTCATCCTAATTTCATCGAATTACCACTAAAAAACTGATTTCATCCAATCTCAATTACATAAAATTACAAATAATAAAATTTAAATTCAAACTAAAAATTAAATTACTTACTCATTTGATTTGAATTCAAAATCCTTAAAATCAATATATTAACTTCAACAATACAACAATGAAACCCCAAAAACTAAAAAAAATTCAATTATCTAATTAAAATTCAAAAACCCTAAAATCAAAAAATTTTATTAAACAGTTCCCCACCCAGCCCGACAGCCACTCCCCAGCCCAGCCCCGACAGCCACCCCCTCCCCCTGCACCACCACCGAAACCACCCTCCTTCCAGAGCCACATGAGCGCAATAGACTTCCCGCCCCAGGCCCACCAACGAAACCGCCCAAAACTTGAATTCCCCAACCCGAAACCACCCTAAACTCCCATCCCTTTTCCCAACCTGAAACCTCCACCCCTTTCGTTGACCCTAGTTTACAAGAACTAACCCTAAATTCAAATTTCACATCAACAACAAACCCTAGATTGCGAAAACTGAAATCGATAATCTAAAAAGGACAAAAACACATTCTTACCTCGAAGCTGCTTCAATGGAGGTGAGAAAGCTCGAATCCGCTTCAATGGAGAATTAACAGTACGCGTAGTGGAGGAGTGATATGGACAAAGCTCAGAATGCGCTTCAATGGAGAACTACGAGCACGCGTAACGGAGGAGAGATATGGAAAAAGGTGGAACTTCAGAGGTGGTTGAAGCTAAGAGAAGGGCGAAAACGAGAGTTAGGGAAAACCGAAAATGAAAAGCAAGGGGAAACAAAGGAAGAAGAAGCAGAGTAACGCATACCTTTCTATTTTTTTTTTTTTTTTTTTTTTTTTGTCTTTTTTAATTCGCACCGGTATGAACCGGTCATAATTACCATAGTTGGCACCGGTTTAAGGCAAACGGATGCCAAAATCGAATTGTTTAATCCCGCCCATTTCATTTGGCACCGGTTTTCAAGAACCGGTGCTAAAGGGGGGGTGCCTATTTCATTTTTTCTACTAGTACCAAGTTCTACATTGGCTAGTTTAATAAGGGAGAGAGTTCGTGAAAGGAATGGTGTCCTTCCAACAAGTGTATTATTCCGACAGAGGGTTCAGAATTATTAGAAAGTTAATTCTTCAGTGAAGTCAAGTGATCGGAATGTCTAGGTGGAGGCCGCTTCCGATCAATAATATTAATGTGAAATTAATATTACAGCTTAATCTTGACTGAACTGAGACGACGAATTAATCTAAAAGATTAAATTAATCGTTAGAGTATTACGAACAAAGACGTTGGATATCGAGCTTAGATCGTCAACACCGAGCGTCGCAAGTTGAGTCAAATTTAGAATTCGACGAGACGAGAAATCAAGCAAGAGACAAGTTAGAGCTAAGCCATAGCCTCGCATTTGCCTAGCAATGCGAGTGCTAGGCTAGCTTAAGATTACATGCGCATAACTAGGCATACCGCAAGCATGCTAGCAAGGATGGTGCACAAGGCCGCAAGCATGCTAGCGTGCTAGGCCACGCACCCAGCCGCATCATCGCTAAATCAAGCATAGCAGCAGCACGCTATGCATGTTGTGCTATGGCGATGGGTGCTAGCATAGCAGCATCACGCATCGCAACCTCTCGCACACAGCCACGCATCGTAGCATCGCCTAGCATCGCATCGTGCTATGTGTTGTGGCTGTGCATGCTTGCGTGCTGGGCATCGTAGCATGCTATGTGCTGAGGCTAAGCATGCTTGTGTGCTTGGCAGCGCCTAGCACAAGCAGTAGCTTCCAAGCAGCGCCTAGCATACGCTACGCAGCAGCAGCAGCCCGCATTGCATGCGTGGCTTGCTGGCTGCGTGCATGCGTATGCAGGCTGGCCAGCCCAGCCAAGGTTCCAGGCGCCAGCTAGGAAGCCTTGGCAGCCAAGACAAGCTGGCTGCCAGCTATGCGTGGGATGCTATTGAGTTTTAGTGGGGACCGATGCTTAGTGGCCTTGCTTGGGGAGCAAGGGGATTTTCGGTCCCCCCCCCCCCTTTAGTGGTCCTCACCTACCCTTGCTCACCCTTTGCTACTTAGAGCTTGTTGATTGCATTGCATTTTAATTTGTTTTTGATTAAAATAAATTGGTGGAAAATGCAATTCTCCCACATTGATGGGAGAAGGGAGATCAAGTCTCTTTTCCCTATAAATACCCAAGTTTTAGTTTTGGGGAAAACCACTTGAGTTGAACTTAATAAGTCATCTCCCTATAGGTGAGAAAACCTTTAAGTTCGTAATACTCTAGTCTTACTTGGTCTAGCCCCGACTAACCTTCGGGGTAGAGGCCGTTCGGGTCTGGTCTCGAGGGTGGACTCCATCAGAGGCTCTCGCGCTTGCGGAGCTAAGGCTTTAAAGTCCGAGCTCTATAGGAGCGAAGCACGCGTCAAGGTTAAGAATGTCTTTTCTCTTTCTCTCTCTTATGTTGTTAATTATGTGATTTCTTGCATAGTTACTTTAATTAGTGAGCAGGTCTTGGGCAGGTTTCTCTTCCGCGTAGCGTTAGACGCTACGAAACCCAACAGTTCGTGTCTATATTCCCCCTCCCTAACACGGAGTTCACCCACTTTCCTCCCAGTTTGCAGTCACCCCAAAGCGCAGCCACAATCGTGCATGCCACAGTCACCCCCTCACCAGCCTCAACTCGACTCGGAGCCAGTTTGGGACCTTCAGAATATAGGTCAAGCCTTAGGTAGGATTAAGACGGGTTAGGGGGAGCTTTTATTGGAGGTTAGGGATCTTAGGAGGTTAGTTGGGTCACTTGACCAAAGGGTGGGGTATGTGAAGAGGAACACAGGTAGGGGGCTTTTTCCTATGTACGACGAGTATGCTCGTCGTGGGGCTATTCCACCTGAGACCCTACGCCCAGACTTGTTCCAGCCACCACCAAGGGGGTATGTCGACCCCAACACCTAGGGTACATATATAGGAGGATGGAGGTAATGTTAACCCTAACTATTTTGGTGGTAGTTTCTCTAGTGGTTTTGTAGGTGGCAGTGGTAGAGGTGGAGATGGAGCGATGGATGAGGATGGTGATGATTAGCCATGCTGAGGCTAATTCCCGAGACAATGAGAACATTTTCTGATTTTGGGTTGGGGAAGATTTTTGGTAGAGGTATCTTATTTCTTCTCTCTCATTTTGTTTTTTTTGGTGTGTTTAGTTTAGATTTTTTTTGCTTTCTAGTGTAGATTTTATTGCTTTAAGAAGAAAAGAAAAAAATACAAAAAAAATAGGAAATTAAAAATACAAAAACACGATCCAATGAATGATAATCATGCTTCCCTGTGCCCTATACATTAAATTTTTGAAATTTTTTTTATTCTTGGTACATGATGATGAATACTATGGATAGGTTAGCCATGATTTGATGTTTGATTGTTTTGATGCCTTGATATGAGTTAACTTTGTCCTACTGTTTGTGGATTTGGTGCTTAACTAGTTGATTTGGTGAGGAATTGTGTGTTAGTTCCTGGTATGTCAATAAAGTTGAGTATTGGTTTATAACTTTGAGTAATGTTTGTATGGCTCATTATTATACACATTAAGGAGGACGAATGCATTTGTTCTTTTAAGTAGCCTTCATATGATTTTAGATACATTTGTTCCCTTCTTACTGCCCAAGTTGTTGCCTTGACCTTTTTATTGTTTATTAAGCCACATTACATGCCTAATTTTTCCCCATTGGTTACTAGTCCCAAGCTTGGCTTGGGGGAGCTATTAGTTAGTGAAGTGAGGGAGTTTGTAGTGTGCTTCACTATTACACAATGTGGGTGGGGTTTGAGAAGTTGCTTTGTTCTTTATTATGGTTTATTTTTGGTGATTTGAAAGTTGATATTTCTTGAAAAAATAATAAAGCATGAAAAAGAAAAAGAAAAAAAAAAGCAGAAGTTCAAGAAGACTGAAAAAAAAGAGAAGGTGAACTTCAAAAGAAAAGAGCAAAAAGAAAAAAATTTGTTTCAAATGTTCAAATGTTCTAAAAAAAGGATGCTCAAAAGAAAAGAAAAGAAAAAAAATGTTTCATAGAAAATTCAAGTTGGAAAAATTCAAAGTTTGTTTGAATCACTTAAATTCTACATTGTTATATTTTTATGAGTGAAGTTGTAAGTGTTGAATTTTTTTTATATGATCGGTTTGGTTGTTTGGTGATTTTTGGTGGAGTTGAGTTGTGATGGAGAGGATTTGGTCATTGTTTATTCTTGACCTTGGTTTTATTTGATAGGATTTGACTCCCTTAAGCATGGCTTTGTTCCCACTTTTTATTTCCTACCTTTCACCTTGGCCTTACATTACGAGCTTTAAAGACCTTCCGACCTTTGTGCATAGAGTTGTATAAATGTAAAATTAGTTGTTTATCAATGCAAAGAATGATTTGACATATTCTGAGTTGACTATATAGGTTGAGTGCTTGTCTTTTTAAACACACCAGTGTAGTGAGTTTGGGAGGGCATTGTTCACATTAAAGGGGTTAGATGGAGAGCGATAGGATACATTTTATATCCGCCACATAAATGAGTGAAGAGTGTGTGAGCACTAGTCATGAATTCCATATACACTTGTGGTTTGCTTTGTTTAACGATTGTTAGGGGAGATTAGTAGTTGGATGGATTTAATATGTTGACTTTGATGGATATTTGTTGAATTAGCCTTGAATTGATTATACTTGATTTTAATTGATTTGGGGTGAAGTATGTTTTATTTTTTCATTGATGAGATCTTTGCTTTAGGACAAGCAATGGTTTGGCTTGGGGGAGCTTGATATGTCTATTTTATATAGTGATTTACCCCCATCCCTTGGTCATATTTAGGAGTATTTTTGGCTCTACGGAGCTACTTTTATTACTAATATGCGTTTTCTAATGTTTTCGTAACTTGGTATTGTTTTATAGGAAATTGCAGATTTGGAGTATTTCGCGAACTTAATTAAGCCACTACAAGTATTTGATATGGAGCGCACTCATATGATCATAATCCGTAGCCCAAGACTGCGTTAGAGTGATCAGACCGGTGATTAAGGGCACGACGAAAAAGAAGAAACCAAGGCAATGGACTGAATTTATAAAGACCCAAGGAGGAAAAGCTCGGATTGGGCCAAGAAAGGGCCCAACCAAGGAAGTCCAAGATTTTGCCCGGAGGACTCGCCCGACCGGACTAAGAAGAAAGCCTAACTCTCGCCCAGAGGCGTGCTCGGCCGGACGAGATAGAGAAGAAGATGAACCGGAGGCACGCCCAGCCAGGCAGTCAGGCGCCTGATCGGGCGCGTGTTTCTGAGGAAGATTAGGAAGTGTTTTACTTTTGTCTTATTTGAAGATTTTCTGGCTTAATATAAATACCTTTTTGTTAAGGGAGTTTAGGGACGCCTTTCATTAATTAGTTAAAAATTCCAGATTTTAGAATTTAAGCTTACTTAGCAATTTGTTCTCTCAACATTCTTTGGTTTATGCAATTCAATAATTCCGTGTATTTTGGTAATGATTTTCTTCCCTTTTTTTCTAGTAATTTTATTGCTTTGATTAATTATGTTTTATTTAATTGCTTTGCTTAACTTAGATTTCATTATGTGTGAGTAGTTTATTTCTAGGATTCTTGGGGATCCGTAAATAATATGAAGGGATGATTTATTGTTGTTTATTGTTAATGCTTTGATTAATTTCATGTTGATTGATTTAGTGCTATGCAATTAGATTAGGCCCGGCTTAATTGTATGAGTTATGCAATATTGATTCAAGATTCTACAGATGAGAATTGATGTTTAGGCTTAGTTTCAATAGTCAGGTTAATTTATAAAGGGTTAAGTCAAGATTCGAGAGATGCGATTTAATACCGCCACATTAGTTCTGTGATTGTAATACGTAGCGAAAGCCCTTCATGATCTGATTAATTGATGCATTGATAATTGATTGTTGCCTTTCATCCCGGAGTATTATTTATTGGTGAAATTATACCCTAGGCTTTAATTTATTGTTATTCTTATAATTCTTAATCGCGTTAGTTTAATTAGTTCCTTTAGTATAATTCATATAAAATCACTCTGGTTCTTAATAATTTAGATTATATTAATTTATTAGAAATAGAAAACA